AGCAGATTGCCTTGCCATCTGTTAAAGCCAGGGTCACTTGACATCCCGTGTCCGCTTGGATCTGCACTGCATGAGGGTTAGCCCCTACCACCCCAGGATTTGGGGAGCTGCGGAGCATGGGATGGAGTGAAATTATGTTCTGAGAACTCCCCAAAGAAGGGAGATTTTCAGGCCGGCTCCTGCAGCTGCAGTTTCCCAAACAATAGGAATTTGCAGGCCCGAATCTGAGCTCTCAGCAGCCCCTCCCTACTTCTCAGGAGTAAAGTGGAGACAGAGTGAAGACTTGGAAGTAGAATGAAATAGCCAAGAGACAAAATGCAATAATTTGAGGAGTGAGAAAACTTTATTTAAAAGTATGCATTTAAAGAAAGGAAAGTATGCACCTCAGAGAGGAGGTACACCAAAAGGCTGGGGATTCTGTCTTTTAAGGTTTTCAAGAATGGGGCAAAGGCCAGTGGGGGGTGTTGTTGGGCATAGGCTTGACTTGTGGTCTCATGATGTCTCTCTCCAGTGAAGGACAGTATGCCCTCATCCATAGTCAGTCCTCCAGATAATTCTGTAAGATAAGCTTAACACAAGGTATTTATTGATCTTGTTTCTCTCCAAGATAGTCGTTCCCTCAAGCACTGGGAACATATTAGTTAAGACTGTTTGCCCTGCCTTAAAATAGGGTGGGTTATTGTCTGATTACTAAAGAATATGTTAGAAATTTCTCTTACCTCCTGACTCTGGTTTTTAAAATGAAATTTTAGCCTTAAGATGGTGTCTCTCCTGTTCTTATTAATGCCATTTATATCTTGGCTTTTAAAAAAAATTAGTCGTGATGCTTGTCCTATGCCTCTGCCCTAACTCAGTACCATCAGAAGTTTGTGAACTTTTGACTGTAGCCAGTGTATAAGTTTCTTGATTCCATTTTAAGAAAATAATTCCTACTTAAATACCATTCTTTTGTTTATCTACTAGAGTGACATTTAATTTGGTTTATTATTGCTCAGATAGTTAGCTCTCAACTAGTTTATATACTTTAATGTAATATAATGCAAGCTCTATCTGTAGGGCAGGCCCAGAGCAAATTAGTTGTCATGTCAGACAGTGTAGTAGGTTTCTGGATCAACTATGGAGACCTGAACTACTATGTCAATTCCTAAAACTCATTGCCATTCAAGGGTCTAAGACCCTACAAATATTTAACCTGGTTAAATAGTTTTGTTCTTGGGAATGTTTTCCATCAACTCTTGCCTTTATCTTAATTGTTTTACCGAAGTTACCCAATTCCCCTTAATGTTCCCCTTCAGACACTTGTCTCTCTGACCGTAAAAGTGTGCTCACTCTAAAATTAAATGATTTTGTAAATCCTCTTTTTAATGTAATAAAATTTCAGTTTACCTCAACCAACATATTCATATACTTTGTTTTCATATAATGCATTCTCAGGAACATAAACTTTTTTTTTTTAAGTACGTTGAACTAGAGAAAGATTGTGTTTGATGTTAATTTCCTATCCATTCATAGTTGTTGTTGATATGTTCAGTTTTCATCAAGGCAGTGGGATTTGGTCTTACTAAGAACACAAGCATTGAGCTCAGACAAAACTGGATTTGTATTCTGGTAACACTCACTTTTAAAAAATTTCTCAGAGCTCCTGATTTTCATTTTTACCTTTCTCACAAAGTTAGACTAAGTATAATGCTCTATTATGAAAAGGAGTGTTTTTCCTTTTTCTTTGCAAAAATTTGTTCTTTTGAAACTGAGTTTAATGATTAGTAACAACCTGAATACTAAACAAAGTAAGCTTTCTAGATTTGTATTCTCTTAGGGCTCTTTGCTGTTCAACAGAGACCAGTAATTGCTTGTTGAAATTGCATTCATGCTTGGTTTCTTTTGCCACTGTATGTCCATGGTTTTTCTTCTTTGTTTTTACATTTATGTTTACTCTCCTGACTCTTTCTTCTGATACCCTGCAAAACAAGTCCTTGCTCTCTCACTAGATGAGACTTTTCACTGTCCATACACCGTGTCTTGATCACTTCCTACACTTGACTATTGTTCTTGCTCTTCTTATGAACTGGAATGGCTTGTTGCACCCACCTAAATCCTGTCTGTTCTTCAGGAATGTATCTCCTTGAGCTTATCTCAGCCTGTCCAGTCCATTAACTCTCCTGTCTGATTGTTTGTAGATTAAATGAGAAAATTTATGTGAAATTAATTTTTAAACACCATAAAACCATCCCCACAATGAAGGTAATACATGAATCCACCATTCTTCAAAGTTTATTTGTGCCCCTTGTAATCATCCCTTTCATTCTTCCCTCCATCCCAGGCAACCACTAATTCTGTCATTATATATTAATTTTCCTTAGCTAGGATTCTGTATAAAAGGAATTATACAGTTGTATCTTCTCTCTCTCTCTCTTTTTTGCCTAGCTTCTTTCATTCAGCATGATTATTTTGAGGTTAATCCATGGTTTTGCATGAATCCATAGTTTATTTCTTTTTGTTGCTAAGTTTCATTCTTTTGTATGAGTACACTACAAATTATTTGTTCATTTATTGGTGAACATTTGAGATTTGGACTATTACAAGTAAAACTGTATATACATTTGTATACAGGGCTTTGGGTGTACGTAGACTTTAATTTTTCTTGGGGGAAACACTTAGGAGGCAAATGGCCAGATCATATGGTATGTACATGTCTTTATCAGAAACTGCTGAGCTGTGTTCTACATTTTGCATTCCCGTTGTTTCGGATTGAATTTGTTCTCCTTGATGTTGTTCCTGCCGCAGTGAAGAATTGAAAGGCAGAGACACAATAGCGAAGCATAGGGAAAGTTTTTTTATAGTACATTCCAAGGGGGGAGCATGTCGGAATCGTGGTGGACAAAGGTCTTGATCTGTTAGGTAGGAGGCCTATATATTGCATTTTGGCTAGGAAGCGGTTCTTTGATTGACAAGGTGGGTTTATTTGACAGGTCCACCTGTATAGCCATCCCTCTCAAGTGTGCTTGTCCTTTCCTATGATGAAGCATGTTTTGGCCAGTCCTTTGTTTTGTTCGATTTTGCCCACTTTGAGATGAGGTTGGGACCAGTTTGTTCTGGTCCTGATAGGCAAAGAAGCTACCTCCCTGCAAAGCCTTTGTTGTCTTCACGTGGGACTCCCTACCTGGGCAGAGTTTGGGCAGTTTTTCCTTGAACCTTCTCTTCCCCTTCCCTAGCTGCTCATGTCTGTCTTTCTACCAAACACCATCAGCAGTAAATGAGAATTTCAGTTGCTATACATCTTTTCAATACTTGGTATGGTTAGGCTTTTAAATTTTAGACATTTTAATAGGTGGGTAGTGGTAACTCATTGTGGCTGTAATTGACATACTTTTCAGTACAACCTTGATAGACAGAAGTTGAACATTTATCTTCCAATTTTTTTGCCTTATTTTTTTAAACCTCTGAATTCTGTGATAGTAAGTTTCTTCCTTGAAAACAAAATATGTTTAAAGTTTGTGCCAGTATTTGCTTGGCATGTTAAATACACTGTATATTTAGTTACATACACAATTATTTAAGAGTAACAGGTAAAGGAAATCAGAAGTAGTGATGAAAAAAGCATCAGTTTTCTTAGGTAAATAAGCCTTATGCCCTTAAAACTATTTAGAACCTGTTTTCCTTGGTTTATGTTTCCTTTGTCAGTTCTAATTGTTTTAGAAAAAGTAAAATGATCATTGTAAAAAATTTGACTTGTAACAAAATTGTTTCTTTGAGAGGGAATTTATTCGAAAGAATTTAAACTGAAGTTTTTCTGAGTTTATTGTAAGATCTCTAGCCATTAGATTTTTTTTAACTTAAAGAGCTATGACCTGAGATTTGAGCCTTTATCACACAAAAAAACAGGAGAAAACTGTAATGCAAGTACTGTTTTATATCAAATAAGGATTGACAACACTGTTTTTATGCATCTGCTCTGCCCACATAAGAAGCCAGCTTTATCATCTGGATGTGTCCTGGGGCTGAAACGTCTTATAAATATGAGAATTTTGCTTTTTTTCTTTAATGGCAAGCAGAATATGGTATCCAGCTGTGGATTTGCTTATATATTATGTTTGCATTTTTTCCCTTGGGCTTGTTTTATACAGTATATGGCAATATGTTGTCATACAAATTCCATGATTAATGCTTATTTATAAAATCTTGTGTAAATATCTTAGAACTTAGTCAAACAATGTGCAAGTTAAACAGTTTTTTTCTCTGAATATTGAAATGACAAATCTGAAGGGAATAGTAGGTTGGATAGTTTATGTTCTTTATCTATAGAAAAGTCTTATATGCAACATTTTCCTTTTACTGTTCTGTTAATGTGATTCTTTTTCACTTTATTTTGCTGGGCAAGAAATCCAGTTTCAGCTTTATACCTCAGAAAAATAGAATTTAAATGTGGAAAGCATTCCAAAATGAGAATGGCAACTATTTCATATATACCTAAATAATCATATTTGCTAGGATATATATGATTTCTGATTTTGTTCCTGAACTCTGTTTAAGAAGCATTTATTTGTGTTTGTTCTATTAGTGATATATTAAAAGTCTATCCAATAATAAACTGCTTTACTGACGTTAGTAATATTATTTTCCTATAAAATGCTAAGTTGCTTATAAACTAGCACAGTGTGAATATGTGGCAAGTTTCAAGTGTAAATAAATTCATTGTATCTAGTTCAATTTCAGAACATAACAAAATGCTTAAAATTGTAAATTTTTAATATTCATTTTCCCTGTATATCATCAGAATCAGTATCATGATAAAATATTCATAATCATATATAACAGTACATATATAATAATAAAGCTATAGATTATAGATCATGATAAGATATAATGATTAGAGATACATTGATATGTTTTGTTTCATATATTCTTGTTTCTCTGCATTGTTTTCATTTTTTACAATATTTTAGTTGTGACTATAAGTCAAAAGACTTGTTTTTCCTTTTTTTTCTTTTCCTTTTCCTCAGGTGCAGCTTTTATATGAACTAACTGATATCATGAATAAGGTCTGGAATAAGATTCAAAAGAGAGGCAGTCTCAGCCTTCCTTCAGCCTATGCAGAGAGCATGGCAGGGCCTGTCCCGGGCTCTCCAGTCAGGAGCAGCATAGGCACAGCTCCTCCAGACACCAGCACATGCAGCCCATCTGCTGATGTTGGAACTACTACTGAGGTAAGTGTTTCTGAAAAATTCTGTTAACCAAATGAGGGGTGGTATATACTGCAGAGTTCACTATTGGGACTGCGAGTGAAGATGACCTCACCTCTATGGAAGCTGGCAGGTCCAGAGGCTCATGAGGAGCTGTGGTAAACAGGACCGTTCCTTTTCAGTCCAAGGATTTGAATCACTTTGAGTAGGTAGTGGTGGGTAGTTCAGGACAGTGGGGGTTCTGCAAAATGGTAAAAACTGAGACCCAGTAAGTCTCTGTTTCCTCAGAAGTATGGAAACTTAGAAGCTGAGTGATTAGAGGCTTATGCTCCCCCTGCTTCCCAAGCCCTCTCTGCCTCTGCCGATTGTTATCTTTGGATTAGTGGTGTTCAGTCCTGTTAGACCCAAAGTCCTCTCCTTCCTCCTTCCAATTGTAGAAACCTTTCTTTTTATTTATTTATTTATTTTATTTTTATTTATTTTATTTTTTTTGAGAGGTCATCTCTCATATTTATTGATCAAATGGTTGTTAACAACAATAAAATTCTGTATAGGGGAGTCAATGCTCAATGCACAATCATTAATCCATCTCAAGCCTAATTCTCGTTGGTCTCCAATCTTCTGAAGCATAACGAACAAGTTCTTACATGGTGAACGAATTCTTACATAGTGAATAAGTTCTTATATGGTGAACAGTGCAAGGGCAGTCATCACAGAAACTTTCGGTTTTGATCACACATTATGAACTATAAACAATCAGGTCAAATATGAATATTCGTTTGATTTTCATACTTGATTTATATGTGGTTCCCACATTTCTCCCTTTATTATTATTGTTATTTTTATTTTTAATAAAATGCTGAAGTGGTAGGTAGATGCAAGATAAAGGTAGAAAACATAGTTTAGTGTTGTAAGAGAGCAACTGTAGATGATTAGGTGTGTGCCTGTAGACTATCTGTTAATCCAAGCTAGACAAGGGCCTTAAAACATCCACGGATGCAGAAGATTTCTCTCATAACAGGGGGGAGTGAGGTTCTAAGCCTCACCACTGTTGATCCCCAATTTCTCACCTGATGGCCCCCCTGCAACTGTGCCTGTCTTAGGTTATTCCTCCCTTGAGGAATCTTACCCTTCTCTGGCTAACCAGTCATCTTCCGGGGCCATACAGGGAAATGTAAAGTTGGTAAGTGAGAGAGAAGCCATATTGTTTGAAAAGGTTAGCTTTTTACTTCTTTGCAATTTCTTTTTATTTTTAATGTCCTACTCTCTTCCAATATTCCCGTGGCCTTTTTTATAGCAAATATTTTATAATGCCTCCTTTACTCTCCTAAAATGAAAATAAAAATACAACCCTTGTTTTTTTTTAGTTTAGTTTCTTTTCTTGCTTTCAAGAAAACATTTATGTCGAGGTCAAGATTAAGTATGTATGCACCTAGGTTTAAATCTATGTCTTTGAGAATCCTTGATAAATTGAGAATCCTTGATAAATTGCTAGGCAAGTGTAGTTTTAAAAATATTTGAAACTATGCATATAGTTTTAAAAATATTTAATGTCTTAGAGGGTTAAAGGAAAGTAATTAAAGGTACAGTAATATGTATTTCAATACATAGTGCTCAGGCATGACTACATTAGAAGACATAAGGAAGTAGAGCACATGTAATTGCTGGGAATGTGACTGACACAAACAGACTTGCGTAGGTGTATGTTTAGATGCCACAAGTACTGCTGTTGTGGTTGCATGATTTTATAAAATAGTGGCAAATTTGGTAACATTCCAAACAAAATAAAGTTCATTCTTCCTTTCATTTCAGTAGTTGAATATCTGGAACTCTTAGTGTATAATAAAATGCAGAAATGCAAAAAAAAAGTGTACAGATTTAAAACAATTTGATTTTGTGCCTAGTGTTTATAAACAGAACTTTCACCTATGTGATCTGTGAGATACTCCTCTTTTTTAAGGACTGTCCTATTTATCATAGGACCTTTGATCCCTTAATTCCTAACCCTTAAATGTCAGTAGTGTTTATCAGTCATTGAGTCAATGAAAGACACTAATACATTTCTAAAACACCCCTTACAGAGCTTAACTTTTACCACTAAGAACTAGTATAATAGATGGAGGTAGAAGTTATGTTTTTGTTTTTGCATAAAGACATCTGTTCCTCTGGAAACAAAGCTATGGCCAAAATACAGAATGGGAAAAAGAAGCAAAGAGGATTTTTTTTTTCCTTACAAATCAATTAAGGCAAACAAACTCAGTTAAAAGGGCAATTTTTTTTTTTTTTACTTGCTTTGAGGCTTTAACACATTGGAGCAAATCTATTTGACCCTTGAACAAGCAACTTCTGTATCCTTGCTCATTCCAAATCTTAAGAAACACAATGACTTGAGTGATGGGATAACTTCCCCCCCTACCTCCAAATGAAGCATAAGCAGAGAATCTAGAAATATACCCTTATGAAGTCACTGGGACATGTCCCTTATAGGGTAAAAGTCGTGAATTCTTTCTTGGAGATTCCTAACATTGTTAGGATACAAAAGCTCCTGCAGTAAAGAAAACTAACTTTATTGAATGCAGTGGTTTCCAAATGTATTTAAAGACCCTTTTTTCATATCTTACATATTAACATTGCACAGAATACTCTGTGCAAAATATTTTGGTAGAATAATCAAAGCTTGGAGTGATAAATTGCTAGGCAACTGTAGTACAAATGAAATTGATATATGAAGTTAACTTTTAGCGACACTTCAGGGGCAAAAAGGAGAGTGTTCCGACAATTATTTGCTAAGTACTGTATTTACTGGGTTGTTGAGATGAACATAACTACTTAATTTTGGTCTTTTAGAAGGCCCAAACTACTTGTGTGTAGTCTTTTAAAAAGAGGCATTTAAAAAGCATTGCAGTACCGTAAGCATTCTTCAACAAACTGAAACAAATAGTTCTAAAATTCATATGGAACCACAAAAGACCCCGAATAGCCAAAGCAACCCTGAGAAGGAAGAATAAAGTAGGGGGGATCTCGCTTCCCAACTTCAAGCTCTACTACAAAGCCACAGTAATCAAGACAATTTTGTACTGGCACAAGAACAGACCCATAGACCAATGGAACAGACTAGAGAGCCCTGATATTAGCCCAAGCATATATGGTCAATTAATATACGATCAAGGAGCTATGGACATACAATAGGGAAATGACAGCCTCTTCAACAGCTGGTGTTGACAAGGACAGCTACATGTAAGAGAATGAAACTGGATTACTGTCTAACTCCATACACAAAAGTAAACTCAAAATGGATCAAAGACTTGAAAGTAAGTCATGAAGCCATAAAACTCTTAGAAGAAAATATAGGCAAAACTCTCTTGAATATAAACATGAGCAACTTTTTCATGAACATATCTCCCAGGCAAGGGAAACAAAAGCAAAAATGAACAAGTGGGACTAAATCAAACTAAAAAGCTCCTTTAAAAGCAAAGGACACCATCAGTAGAACAAAAAGGCATCCTGCAGTATGGGAGAATATAATCATAAATGACATAGCTGATAAGGGGTTGACATCCAAAATATACAAAGACTCATGTACCTCAACAAACAAAAAGCAAATAATCTGATTAAAAAATGGGCACAGGATATGAACAGACACTTCTCCAAAGAAGAAATTCAGATGGCCAACAGGCACATGAAAACATGCTCCACATTGCTAATCATCAGAGAAATACAAATTATGAACACAATGAGATATCAACTCACACCAGTTAGGATCGCCACTATACAAAAGACAAACAATAACAAATGTAGGCAAGAATGTGGAGAAAGGGGAACCCTCCTACACCAATGGTGGGAATATAAACTAGTTCAACCATTGTGGAAAGCAGTATGGAGGTTCCTTGAAAGACTAAAAATAGAAATACCATTTGACCCAGGAATTCCACTCCTAGGAATTTACCCTAAGAATACAGCAGCCCAGTTTGAAAAAGACATATCCACCCCTATGTTTATTGTAGCACTATTTACAATAGCCAAGAAATGGAAGAAACCTAAGTAAATGAATGGATAAAGAAGATGTTGTACATATACACAGTGGAATATTATTCAGCCATAAGAAGAAAACAAATCCTACCATTTGCAACAACATGGATGGAGCTAGAGGGTATTATGCTCAGTGAAATAAGCCAGGCGGAGAAAGACAAGTATCAAGTGATTTCACTCATCTGTGGAGTATAAGAACAAAGCAAAAACTGAAGGAACAGAACAGCAGCAGACTCATAGATTCCAAGAAAGGACTAGTGGTTACCAAAGGGATGGGTTTGGGGAAGGTACGTGGGGAGGGACGGAGAAGGGGATTAGAGGGTATTATGATTAGCATACATAATGTAGGGGGTGCACAGAGAAGGCAATATAGCACGGAAAATACAAGTAGTGACTCTATAGCATCTTATTATGTTGATGGACAGTGACTGTAATGGGGTGTGGGGTGGGACTTGATAATGTTGTAGCCATAATGTTGTAGCCATAATGTTGCTTATGTGAAACTTTCATAAGATTTTATAGCAATGATACCTTAAAAAAAAACTGTAAGTCCAAAAAAGACAGGGCTCACATGAAATGGTCACACACGTTGGTCATATGTTGAGGGACTGCCAATCACACAAAGCACAGTATGAATAGTGCTCTCTATTTTACACTGTCCAGTCTACACAAAAAGACATGGTGGCCCTGATATGAGATATAATAGTGATGAACATGCCCTGAAATTTTAGAGGATTGATTAACAAATTCATTCTAAGTTGGTATTTTGCATAGGAAGTAACATTTGAGGTGGATCTTAAAAAATGAATAAGATCTTACCAATACTTTGTTTTCATAAGTATATAATGAATATGATAGACTAGAAGAATGGGCCTTCATTAGCCAAAGTGAGGAAGTTAAGAAAGGGAGAGATTAACAAAGAGAGAGAGGTTTTCTCAATCCCTTAAAAAGAAATTACTTCTGATTTTAATAATAAGTTTCTTACATGACTGCAA